CCCTCTGAAATCAACATTCAATGCCGAACTCGAACTCGAGACCTCGCCAGAATCTTTCCTGCGAACTTCCTCAGCCAAAATCAAATCACGAATATCATCGTATTTTAGTTTAGATTTACCTGCAGAACTGCTAACTGCTATCCTCATGGCTTCCCAACTATTTGGCAATGAAGCCAATAAAATCAATGCACATATCTCATCATCAAAATCAATTTACACAAACGACAATTGATTTGTGATAGTATTGAAAACATTCAGGTGTTGAGCAATAGAAACACATTCCACCATCTTCAAATTGAATAACTTCTTCATCAAATGCACATTGTTATTTGCCGATGGTTTTTCATACATACCTGATAAGGCTATCATGAGATTTACAGTCGTTCTTTTCTTAACTACGATGTGTGCAACGGACCTCAATAGTGTCAATCGAATAACCCCCAGAACTTGTCGATCCAACAAATTTCATTCAGCCTCATTCATCATTTCACGTTTTTTCCCCAATAACGAAAGATGAAGTTTCTTCCCATAAAAATAATCTTCTATCTGCATTCTCCAATAACGAAAATTTGTTATCAAATTTCTCGATCCCTGAAACCTTCACTTCATCTACAGCCATCATTCTTCCTCAGATCTTAACAAAGCTCTGATATCAGTTGTTGTTGCGCTTGTGAGATCTATAGATATACAAGTTAATGTGGTACATATATAAATCAAACAGGAGAACGATCGACGAAGTGAAAAATAGAACGAGAAAAATCACACCAGAAAAGGACAACACAGCGGAACACACAGATTTACGTAGTTCGACAAATTGCCTACGTCCACGGAGTTGCAGAGAATTTTACTACTTGAGGAATTTACATCAGTCGATCACATCGACTTACAAGAGGTATCTCTCGCTCTTCGTTGCTCCCTCTTCTTCTCTCTCTGTTCTTCTCTCTCTATACCAAGATACACCGAAGAAAACTCTACACCGAAAAAGACAAACTCACAAGAGAAATAAACTCAATTTCTCTTCTGCCACAAGCCATCAAGAAAAAGTCTAGGGAGAACAATCTTCTCCTTCTTCCTTATTCTTTCTGCCGCAAGGAACTGCTCCTCCTTGCACTTCTCTAACTCTGTCCCGAGGAAAGCTGCTTCTATCCCGAGGAAACCGAAGAACTCAAAGCGTGACTACAAAACCCAAGGAGAGTCATCTGAAGCTTTTATCACGAACAGGAGGGAGCAAAGAGATGCTTCACTTCACAAAAGGTGAAGTCGGGAGTGGTTATTTGCGAAGAGGTGTGACTCTCCAAAGCAAAGTAACTGCTCAAGCATAGTGGATCAGACTTCACCGATTCTAACATAAAAAAGAGTCTATTTTAAGAATTTATGTATTAAAAATTATATATAATCTAGTCATACACTTTTTTGTAAAGTTTGTGATACATTGAGAAATTTTATTAAAAAAAATTACAAAATTTAATATGTATTAGTTTCATTACATAGCATCTGAAATTGATGCAATGTCAATTGGTTATATGAGTAGAAAATTAAATTTTATGAAATATTTTGGAAAGACGAAAATTCCTAAAATTATGGATGTAAACGAGTCGAACACGAGCGAGCCGAGGCTCGGCTCGTTTATATTTCGAGCTCAAAAAGTGTGTTTGTGTTCAGCTCGTTTGCTTAGCGAGTTGAATACGAACCGTTCACTACGAACCGTTCACAAACAAAGAGTCGTTTTGACTACCCTAATCACGTAGACATAAAATGTTAAGGATTGGGATAAAATTTAAAACTAGTTATTTATATTAAAATATTCATTTAAATAGAATTTAATGTATTTTTATTCTCTTTTATTAATTAAAAATAAAAATTGAATATAAATCTTTATAGCCCTAAAGTCAATTAAATTATTTAAAAATAATACTCATCAATTATATATATA